AGGTCCCGGACGAAGAAAAAATTAGGAAGAAATGCAAGTGGCAGATAGGATATATACTGAAAAAATCACCGAACTGGATCACAAGACAAGCACTAACTTGGAATCTTGAAGGCCAAAGAAATTAAAAGAAGACCAAGTAACATATTACACCGAGAATTGGAGACAGACATGAAAAGAGTGAACAGTCATATGATAGAACTGGAAAAGAAAAGGCCCAGGTCAGAGTAGATTAGAGAATGCTGATCAGTGGCCTATGCTCCATTGAGGATAACAGGTGTAAGCAAGTAAGTATAGTGTATCCAAATGATCAAGCTTTACATATATTTGTCAGCTTTCAATTTAAAAATCATGATAATAATATTAATACTGACTATTTGAAAAAATAAAACACACATTAATTCAACTGATTCGTTTTTAACGTGACATTAATAAAATAATACGTTAATATTATTAGTTGAATGAGTGACAGGCACATTATGCTTTCTGATGATATGCACAAACTTGAATTTTGTACTTTGAAAAAGATTTTTAGTTTTGTTTTAATAAATGTCATAGACATATATATATATATATATATATATATATATATATCATTCATATCTTCCTCATTACAACAACATCAACAATAAGGATTTACTAGAAAAAGTAGAAAAAACCGATTTTTGAATTAGACCACCATTTTACTCATTAAAATAGAATGGCTGCTTTTTCATTTGTGTGTATATTGTATAGTTTTGCTATGCATATGGGTATCATTGATAGTTTTCTTCGGAAATTTTTGTTTGTCTCTCCTTATTTCTGACAAAAATGATGGATAGATAGATGCTTTAACTATTTAGACTATTCCATATGGTTTTTTTTTAGTTTGTGATCACGGAAATCAATAGGTTGGTTGTATGTGGATGGTTAAGTGCAATTCAATGTTATTTAAAATAAGTTTTTTGTTAGTACATTTTCAAACCACTATTAGAATGATCACCAATGTTGATAGTTCTTGCTTAAAAAAAACACCATCACAAAAATGGTTTTATTTTTTCAAAAAAAAAAAATTAGAAAGAAGAAAATAGATTTTATTAATTATATATCTATGATGTTTGATCATGAATAAATGAGTTTTCCCAGTGAAGAATTTATCAATATCATTTACTTACAGTTACACATTTTCGTAAAAATTTTAATGTATTCTTGTATAAGTTACTGTTCAATTAGTCTTGTTATTAAGATATTTCAAATCTAATTTTTTTCATCATAGGGACATAAATCAGTCATTGTTAAACCGTCATTAGAAACATACAAGCACTGGACAGCCGCTTCGTTTCGGTATGGGACTTAACAATGCTTATCCACGACTTCTTCTACTAGCAGGATTCCAACCCAGAAGCTTCGGTCTTGTTTGCGAACGCCTAACCTCTGAAACACTGAAGTTATGAATGTGCATCACTGATGAGTCTTACAATAGAACGAAACAGCCGTCCAGTGATTGTGCGTTTCTAATGATGCACTAACAATGATTGAATCATGAATTCAGTAATTTCAAATCTCGTCAGAGTTTGCTGAACACTTTGTCAAAGTTACTCAAATAGTTACATATTTCTTTTTGAGTATCAGCAACTCAGAAACTTAATTTTTGCTGAAAAACATAACTCAACCTCTATGAATATGAAAACCTGATGAAGAGGTATAGACTTTTAAACATTTTGACACATAATAGAAAATAAGACCGGATTATGGTTTTGATATTGTAGGCCACCGATTCCCGATATGATAAGTTCTATTCATAAACCTGAATACAATTATGGAATAATACTTTTTTATTTAAACTTCCAAATAACACTCTTGTTTATAACGTTACTGTTAATTTGAAAACATTGTACAGGATGATACTTATTCGCCTGGATACAAATTGTACTGGCGACTAAAGTTACTTATAAACTGTATTTTTGTGAGAACATAACTTTCACGATAATTATTACACAACCATTTAATTATTTACACAAAGATATCTCCATATTTTACAAGTTACTAAAAATACAATAAATGTATTGTTAACCATAGACATTTTAACAAGAACTCATTGAAAATAGCACACTAAAGCATTCATTGCCCAAGACATATGGCGTTATTTTGAAAGATTATTTAAGAGCTAACAAAGTATTCACTTATGTACGTGATCTCCTATGCTGTAAAAAAGGATTGTCAAGATTATTTGTGAATTTTGACGAGTACATAAACCACTCAAGTTTCAATATAGGAGATTTATGCACAGTGTCGAACGTAACTAATTAAACATTGAAAAACCGAAAGAATCTAGTCAGATATCACATCCTAATATTGGAATCTTCAGGAATGTGCACACACTATTTACAGTAGATTAAACTCTGAATATTTGAATTGAGGTGAATTTCAAACCTTTCAGATATTGCAGCAACCATTTATGAGCTCAGTAATCCATAGGTTAAGTGGTCCCTTTAAGTTTCATTACAATTTAACAACGAATTTTGTTTAGTTGATTATTAGTCTGGTTAATCTATGAGGGAAAAATGAATTTCTGGTCATCTCAAAAGTCTATCAAGTTGTGTATGTATCCTTTTATTCAGTTTGTCAAAGTAATAGTTTATTTTATTCAGTATTCAATGCTATGAATCGAATCATTTCAACGTACAAATATAATGTGATTTTGACAAAAGTCTCACAGATTTTTAATCTATTTCTTGTAATAGTTATCTCATGTTTCAATGAAAACAGTCATTTGTTTTACTAAACTCTCTCTCTCTCTCTTAAAATTTAAATCAATTTAACCACCTCTCTTCAACTTGTTACATAATCGTTTTTACTAAGTACGCAGTGAAACGTAAATTAAACTATAAATAATCCATTTGAACTATTTTTTTCTTTCGGCGTAAAATATTTTATCTGAAATCACGAATACAACTTTTTTTCGTTAAAAGCTTTAATCACTGCCTAATTTCACGTGTATTCTACTATGCCTAAATAAATAAAAAATTCCTATATTTCTTATGTCCACCTCTTCTTATTGATTTTGATAATAATCAGTACACTGAAAAAAAACCATTCGTCTCTGTTTCGGATTTATTATAATCGATCGTTAGATAATGTTGCAAAAATGTTCTGAAATTCACTTTCTGATCGATCTGTGATTTTTTTCTTTTACTTAACTTGTGTAGTGTACTGAAATATTTCTAAATGACAAATATTTATTTTCAAAATACGTTTCAATGTGTATAATTTTCACTGTCGCACAAAAAGGTGTTCGATTTGAAAAACTGATATATGTTAGTTCTTATTGTTAAATGTTTTTACTAAGCATTCTAACTATTCAGATGTGGAATTTATGAAGATTAGTCGAAATAAGTTTCATTATCACTTTGTTGCAACTTCAAAATAATTCCGAATCAAAAAGTGCTATTTTCAACATTAGTTTCAAACTATTTTGAAACGCCCCCTCATATTGGACCTTCATGACTCCTTTAGCTGCAAGCTATTTGCTCTATACTGGCCTTGTTATCTTATTATTTTTCTAATTTTTCTACACATTTGAAATCATCTATCAATCATTGTTAGACCACCATTAGAAACCTAGAAGCACTGGACTGCCGTTTCATCCTGATATGGGACTCATCAGCAGTGCGCGTCCATGACTCCTGAACCTCGCACTATTCGAACCCGGGATATTCGGTCTTGTGCAGGAACGCCAAACCTCTGGACCACTGAGTCGGCATCTAACGGTGTAACTGTCTAATTTCGATCAATTCACGGAGCTGCGCAACCTCATACACTGTCTTCGAAAGTTACTGCCTAAACCCAACAGGGTTGAACTCCACTAGTCACGTCTTCTGACTAGAACTCCGAGAATTTCCTCACGAAGTTAGTCACCAGTGAGCACATTTTACGATACTTTCAATTAGAGTTATGGAGCTGATGAGTCTCATACCTGTACGAAATGGCCGTCCAGAGCTCTCAGGTTTCTAATGGTGGTCTAACAATGATTGACTGATGATTTCAAATGTGTACAAATACTAATCTCCATAACTCTAATTGAAAATATCAAATTTTTCGTTTTGCTTCAAACTTTTTCGCTCAAAATATATTCATCATCAATTTAGTCACTGTACGGATACTCTTTTAAATATAGAAAGACTGTCTAAAGTACTTTACCATTTTTCTGTTGTATTCGTCAGATCGATGTGCAAGTAATTTCGGAAGTCTTTATATTGATTTTTTTCTAAAAACTAAGGATAATATGTCGAATATATCTGATCCTCAAGTTTAAATGACAAGTTATTCTTCATAAAATCTCTTCACTGAATAACAAACCTGCATCCATTGATAGTTATTATCAAGATGGTTTCCAATTACTCTTAAAATTATTCACTAGTCTGTGGAGTTTACAATAGTCTGTGTTGAATAGCTGATAAGTTTAGATATCTGCTTATTATTTCATTACGAAGTTTACATAGTATTAACAAACCATAACAAAAATCTTTTTGTATCAAACTGTTTTTATCCAAAAGTCTAAATGAGAACTTTTTCTAACGCTACCATCATAAATAAGTAATAGTTTTATTTTAGATAGTAGGTTTATTATCTAAATATTATATTTTTCAGAGCGTCTATCAACAGAAGTGTCGATATACGAATGATATTATTTGGAACTAGTCAACTAGATCTACTTTCATCCCAGTTCTAATGTTTCTACAAATCAATGGATCATAAAAATATCGGCATTTGAGAAAGATAAACCGTTGCCATCAATTACACACATCACATTTGTACAACAAATTGATGAAGTTCATGTATCAACCTTGCGAGTTCATAACTTATGATGAACGACAATCGACAACAGTTGATTATTCTTAACAAAACGGGATGATTATTATAATTATTAAACTAGATTATGACATATTAAGTATTCACAACCCGTTGTTCAAACTACAAAACTTTACGAACGAAATAATTACACTCTACAAAACAAGGCTTACGTAATTTAAGAATATTCATTATAATTTATTGTAATTTTCATTATGCTTATCTCTGTATAGAGTGAGTAGTTGTTGCATTATATTCCATATGTACATATATATGTATATATATAAAAAGCAATAAGTTATCATTTGCATTTTTTTCCCACTGTGTACGCACTAAATATGCATTGATAAACGTGTACATGATCCCATTCATGTGTAAGGATATGTGACTCACATTGATAATTGTACAATGTACCGGAAAATAATCATAATAATCATAATAATCACTGTTCATTTAATTGATCAAATGATTAAACAATTTACAATGGTGTATAAAGAAAATATCATTTGTTCATTAATGAACTTGTTACAGAATTGATAGTTTGTGTAGTATTAGTCCTAAGTATATGATTACTTGTACTACTAGACGAAGTAATAGCAACAGTAGTAGTAGTAATAGTAGTAATAGTAGTAGGTGTGGATAATTGTGTACGAAACTTTTTATTCGGTAATGTATAATGTTTTTCATAAGTTAATCCTGTCAAACCTGACGGTACATTGGCAATATGTTTACGTATTTCTGCAGAAATATTTTTCTTCTCTTTACTTTGAAGGGTTGCATAAATATTACCATGTAATGGACAAGGTGTGTAAACTGATGTATTCAAACAATGATTATCATTATTGTGAATCGTTTTATTGTCAATGTTATTTGAATCAATATTTGTAACTTTATGGTTTTTTGAAGCATCATTTTCTTCAGAAGCATTAGATATTTTCGTATTACTTATAGAAGTAGTTAAGTTTGCATTTTCTATTGGATCATATTTTTGAAGGTTTGATAAAGAAATAATATGAGATTCTGGAGTGATTTGCATAGATCCAGCATCTACCCCATCATAATTTACACTTACATTAGTTGCAGCGGATACTGTAGTTGAATCTGTTGAAACTGGACGAATAAATGCATAATTATGTATTGGGCAGGGAACAGTAAAATTGCTACATGTCACTGTTGGTAACAAACGAACTGTCACATAATTATCAAATGTTGGATCATGTGATTTAAGTGATAGTAGATTGTGCTGATCTAAGACATTATCACTAGTACCATGTAAGTAAACATGATCATTCAATTCGGAACGTTTATATGTTGTCACTGGTAGATTTCCATCTTTAGGTGTACAAATATTTAAATTTTGTCCTTGAATCATATAAGTACTCCTTGAATGATCGTTAGTATTTTTGCCATTATTCATACTGAAATTACTAGTATTCATTGTTTCTAATTCATCACCTAAAACTTGTTGCGACTGATCTGATCTATTATCATAAGTTGGTATTGTTTTATTAATGCATAATTTTGGTCGACAATACATTTTTCCATTGAATAAATAAATCAGCAAACCCATAATTACTAATAGTATTATTAAACATGCAGCAATCATTCCAGTATATTTAAGTACAAGTGTTGTATCTAATTTACTAATCCAATAAAATACACCATTATGATAAAATGATTCATCCATTGAAGTACCACCAATCACTTGTACATTGAATGTTGTATTCACATGTCCATAACCTGTATCCAAATAACAAACATAAATTCCTGCATCAGAATTTTGAATATTTTCAATTGTTAATTCAGCTAGAAAATTTCTACCTTGACTTTGTTTAGTCATTGTCCTGGGCCAATGATTTTGTATTCTTGTTCCATCTTTATACCATACAACAATACCTGAAGGATCAGCGAAAAATTTACAACTCATTGTTGAATTACTACCCCAAACTAATTGAATTTGTTGATCCGGTGTATGCGATTCAGGGGAACAATGAAAATCTACACTACGTACAGCTTGTGTATTACCAACATTACTGATTTGACTAAATAATGGTTTCCCGTGTAATCCAATTGGTGATGCACATTTAGGTTGTAACAATTTATTCATTTCTACATGATCCTCCGAATTTCGTTCATCAACTAACCAATTATTCGCTTCTGTATCAATACTATGCCGTAATATTGCTTCATTGATTGGTTTCGAGTAAATTAATTTTGTGTGATATTTTAAAAACCATTGTTTCAACCATCTTAAATGACAATCACATTTCCATGGATTTCCATGTAAATATAATTCTTCCAGTTGCATTTGACTAAATACACGTTCATATGTATCTGGTAGACTTTCTAATTGATTATTACTTAAATCAAGCAATTGTAATTTATACAAACCATAAAAACTTTCTGGATTCAGTTGTAAATCAATAGATCCTTCAGATAAGACAATGGAACGTAATGTTTTACCAATTGGTAAGAAAAAATGATTAGGTATATTACCAATTGGATTATGTAATAAATTTATATGTTGTATCATAATAAGACCATGTATTACATTTGGATGGAATGATTCAAATGAAATAGTTAATAAATTATAACGTAAACTTAATGTTTGCAATCGTATTAAATGATTAAATGTATTTGGATGAATTGATTTAATTTTATTGGAATCTAAATTTAAAAATGTTAAATTTGGTAAATGTATCAATTGACTTGCATTTAAACTAGTAATATCTTGATGATTTATGGTTAATTTGACTACTTCACTTGGCAGACTCATTGGAATTGTTTGAAAATGTGTATTCAACTTATCACATATAGATTGACGCATTGAATAATCATCTCCATAGACAAATGTTACACAACCTTTCACAGAATAAACTTTTGGCAGATATTTCATAAATTGTATTATACTATGAAAAATAATCAAAGAAATAAATGAAGATAATTTTACTGTTGTTGTCATTAGATTACAATGACAAGAGTTAATAATCACAGCAGAAACAACCAGAGATTGGAATAGTAATAACAGTAATAAGGAATTGTAGAATATGAAAAAGTAGGAAATTGTTTGTTTTCATTTTGTTTGAATTATTAGTAAACCTGATTGAGTAAGATTATTGATCGTTTTGGATTGTATATAATCTTAGAAAATGTATTCAATAAAATAAAATAAAATAATAAACTTTAACAAATTATCACTGGAACACTGATAAACACATCAATTTCATCAGATTTCATTGAAAAAAATAAAATTCGTCATAAAAGTTTTGATCAATGTGTGTTTCAATGATAAACACAATTGGAAGTGATTCGATGATCGGTATATATCATCTATTCGTCAACGAGTGATGAGTTGGAATTCAGTATGATGTACATGTATATGTATGTGTGTGTATGTGTTTACACATGTGTATGGAATTGATAGTTAGGCATTTTATTTTTCTCATCGTTTCCAAATGTATCATGACATTGACCAGTAATTGTCATTATCCATGTGAATTGTGGAATTTTTGTGAAGTATAAAAATATCTCAGATTTTAATCTTTGTTTGAATATTATTTAATCTGTTCGCTGTATAAACATTTATTTCATTCAGTAAGTTAACAAGTTAGTGTCAACCAACCAACCAACCAACCAACAAACCAGCCAACCAACCAAATCAATCAATCAGTTATCCAATATAATTTTGATAACTCATCATTCCATTAGTCAATTAGTCAATTCAATGTCCAATAATGGTAATTCACACCAATGTCATCGTGTTTTTTTTTCTTGTATCATCCTGTTTGATTGTAGGATTTTAATTTTTCATTTCCTTATCAAACAATAACAATAACCATAATAATAACAATAATAACAGTAGCCATAACAGTCACCGTAACGTTTCATTAGTTAAAAAAATAAACATATATATATGTATACATATCTATGTATAGATATTCGAAATAAAACACCAGTTGTATTTTCTAGAACTTCCCTTCATCTTGATTCTATTGGTTGATTTTAGTTTGCTAAACAAAAATAAAGAAAAACGTTTTCATGATAGACAATGATGAAGTAGGAAGAGGAGGAAGAGAAGAATAAGAAGATAGGGCTTTGAATGCGATTCTTTATTTTTTCTTCTGAAATCATGTAGAGTTATATATATAAATATATTTATACATAAATAAATATATATATATATAAACTTGACTATTTAGATTTGTTTTAATTAAACGAGAACTGTTCAAATCATATCAATACAATGTAGATTGTTATACACACGTATAAAGTCATAATGCCGTGATAACAACAACAAATTTTTTTAAAAAAATGTTTAAGTATCTTCTTTTATGTTACATTTTTATCTTTTGGCAACTCTTGTTTCTATAAGGATTTTACAGAGAGAAATGATAATACAGTGCTAGTGTTATTATTGAACTTCTACACTGTTATTTGATGATAAGATAATCTATCCTTTTGAATGACCAATTCACTATTTGAATCAATTCAGAGAAATTCAATTCGGTAAGACATAAACTTTGAAAAACATTTGTCCAGATGTTATCTTAAAATTATTGATATTTGATCAAAAGCTATGGAAAAAAATAGTGGGACAGCTGAACACAGGGAATTCTGATCATTTGCAAAATGTGTTTTGAAGTGCATGTAGATGTCAAAGAAATATATATGTTTTGAAGAAGAAGATACGATTCGTGTATTTCAAGATTTCTGAAGTAGCTTTCGTTGCATCGTTTGGTATATCTACAGTTTGCAAGCGAAACAATGTCGTGTAATTGTGCACAAAACACTGTAAACAAAAGTTGAGACAATGATGGTCAAACGTAAGAGTAATTCCTATGAAAAAAAGTTTGACACAATCAAACTATCTCCGAAGTAATCCCTTTCGAATATAAAGATGCTACTTAATAGCTATAGGTTCACTCGATGTTTGGTTCTAAGAAATGCGACTTTTTTATAAGTTCGTTAACCTGGAAGTAGGTGATAATGTTAATTTATCTATGAACTACTGATGAACGATACTATGAACAACGTAGATTATATAAACTTTACTGATTTGCAAACAGAGTCAGGATTTTTCAAAAGTAACTGACAATTTGGCATGAACACAGGGTAATGCTTAAAACACCTGTTTTGAATTCAGTCGCAACCGATATCAGATAATACTCATTAGATTAGCTTTATCGGCATTAATTTCCCGGTTCTCTCTTGTGAAGAATAATAACTACTACTATTCTACTAAAAAGTAAATAAAGGATGTGGTTAGGGTATTTTAACAACAAAACTTTAATAAAAACAAACTGATTACAAACAATTTCAATGACAACATATACAAGTAGAAAATATTTGACTAACTGAATTTTTTACGGCTTTATGAAGATGATTAAGTTACACATTTTTGAAACCATGAATCGATCAATGTTAGACCAACATTGGAAACCTGAAAGCACTGGACAGGCGTAATGCAATGACCTGTGTTCACCAGTGACTAGCTCCGTGAGGAATCTTCTCCGAGTTCTAGTGAGAAATCGTGACAAGCGAAGTTGAACCTGTTCGGGTGCAGACAGTAACTACCGAAGACGGTATGAGGGTGCGCAAGACCGTGAATTGGTCGAAGTTAGACAGTAACACCGTTAGATAAAGGCTCAGTGGTCGAGTGGTTAGGCGTTTGAGCACAAGACTAAAGGTCCTGGTTTCGAATCCTGCGGAGTGCAGGAGTTGTGGATGCGCACTGCGGACGAGTCCCATATCAAGACGAAACGGCTGTCCAGTCCTTCCAGGTTTCTAATGGTGGCCTAACGTTGATCCATTCATGATTTCAAAAATTTGTGGCTGGATTTTGTTTTCATTGCAACAGAAAAAATCTGGAATATTTTGAATACAATATAGATAGACAAATTTCCCAATCACGTTAGCAATTGTATTAAACTGTAAGAACGATTTAGATAGGCATTTTAACTTTGAAAATAAGTAAAGAAAATCACCTTATATTAGCTTTATGTAAAAATTATTTACGCGATTGTATCAAAAGATTTTTATGCCAAATGAACTATTATGAAATGACGCAACGAATCGTTAAAACAATTTGTTTACTCATATGTCCAACGTGTCAAACATCACTGGCAGAACATAACTTATAAAAAAAAGTACATCTCAGTTTACGACTACTAACATACTGGTACTATCAAGATTTTTTATGATTTTATGCGAAAAAAAATAGTATAAAAAGACTAACAGTTACAATTTAGTCAGCTGTTAATGTAAATGCAAAATGTTACTTGTGATTTCTTCCTCTATTAATGCAAATACGATAATATAGATTAAACCACATATGATTTCTCATGATAAACAGTAGGAAATCTTAAAAAAAACATATTAGAATCTATGGGGCTTCGTAATTTATACAGACAGGTATATATATATATATATATCAATTTCCAAAAATCTGTTAGGTACATTTTAATCAATCCAACACGAGAATTAACTGAAATTTTGTGAAAGCCATTTTGAAACCAAATATTTATGGTTGCTGCTATGAGAAGAAACTGAAAACTTCTATTGTGCTTCATAGATACTTATTCAACAGAACTTACTACTGAAATTATCTAGTATCACAGTGAAATTACTGATTTTAAGAATAATATAGAAGATGGGAAGTATCAAAGAATGCTTACTCTGAACACTATCTAACACACAGAAGAATAGAATATTTACTGTTGCACATGTGACCTTGATACCTTATAAACTTACCAAATAGTTTTCAAAAATGATAATACAGTCGGTGAAAATTCAAAGAAGACATAGCATATGATACGATATTTAATAGAGTCACTTTGGATGATTGTAATGGACTCTGATTACACACAAATTACACAAAGCATTTTTCCTGGCTCTCTAGGATTTATTAATTATCAACAGGATTTGGTTTGACAATAGATGAGTGAGATTTATTTTGAAATTAAGATAAAAGAATTGTCCAGGATGATTAGTTTTCAATATCTCTTCAGAATTTCATTAAGTATGATGAAAAATATCCATCAAAAGTTCATTCTTCATACATTTATAATTATTTAACAAAACTAACATCATACAATAGAATTTTGATTATTTGTCTTTGTAAAAAGTAGTTCAAATGATTGACAAACAAAACTGTAAGCAGAAATCACAGACAAAATTACTGTGAAAATTATTTTTAACATAAATAATAAAAAAATGACGCATAAAGGTAAATGAAATGTAAAACTATAAAATCAACTGATAACTATTATATTATATAGCGATATATACATAATAAGTACATGCAGACATTGGGAAATGTTTTTAATTTCATGAGTGTTTTATGGAGAAAGACGTCTCTATAAATTTTACTGCAATTTGTGTCCTAAATATTGACAAATAATATCTTTATAAATCTGGAAAATGTTTTAATGATATAAATAAGAGCTTAAGACTTTATTAAATAACCTAAATTGGTCAGAAATACGGGCGAAGCTAAATACAATGAATGTAGTCCTATTGCTCATATATTCTTAAGCATTCAGAAATCTTCCAAGAATTTATGGAACATACTTCGTCTTGTTATGGGACTCATCAGAAGTGCGCACCCACGACTCCTGCACCATTGAATGTCAGCATAGTTGTCCAGAGGTTAGGCGTTCGCGCACAAGACCGAAGGTCCCGGTTTCGAATCCTGCGAGGTTCAGGAAACGTGGATGCACATTGCTGATGAGTCCCATGCCGGGACGAAACGGCCGTCCAGTGATTGTGTGTTTCTAATGATTGTCTAACAACGATTGATTGATGATTTCAAATGTGTAAAAACATTAAGCTCCATAACTCTAATTAAAAATATTCTTGATATACCTTTTCTTCACATTTAGTTCTTTCAATGTTTCTGACGCATTTACAGTATTTTAGCTAGTAAAGTTAAATACTTAAACAACGCTTGGTTGTTTCTTTTATTGAATCATATCCTTGACTTTCTACTAATCTAATTTTAAAGAGATCACTGATGCAATAATAAACTTTGGCAGCGAGTTTGCTCGGAATCCTAATCCTCTTTTATGCTACGTGTTAGTGTTGGAAAAGAACAATAATACCGATCCAAATTTCTCGTAGACAATCTCAGTTAATTTTTCCATCGTTTTTATTTATCGTTTTTACAAATTCAATAGTATAGTTATCTTCCCGTTGGTTTAGACATAAATCTAATGCTACATCTCTACTTTCTGTCCCCCAGATTATATTATTACTTTTATGCTTGTGATTGTCAACAACCGTGATCTTCACTGATAGACTAGTAATTAAGATAGTTCTCAGAATTTTCGCAGGATATAAACGTTATCACCGTTTATTCCTTTTCTTCAATAAAACAATCAAAAAGTATTATTTATTGTCTCACAGTTTCAATCTACATACCATTGCTAGAATTTATCTCCTGAAATAGGCGTTTGAATAATTCTAAGTGATCTCAGTGTGTTATAATGACACATATAAATGATTATCTATCATTCCTTATGCTCTCTTATTAGGTACTTTAGTAAGTGAAGAGAAAACATTAAACCTACCATTATTTCTTCATTACTTTCAGCATAATTTACGCGCACTAAGATTATGAGGTTAACTGAATCATTAACTCCATGGTTTCATGCATTATTATTATTATTATTATTATTGGCGTCACTGATTCGAGTTAGGTACTTCGCTCGATTATATGTTATAATTAGTTGGTTTGTATGATGAACTGATTGTCTTAGTGGAATATTTAACCCATGAATTTTCTGTTCTCTGTGAAGAATAGAGGCATTTCCGCGACAAAGTGATTCAAAATGAAAGTTTGAGTTTTGCTTTTAATGATTGTAAATGTTAGTACGTAACAGTGATTTTTTTTAAGGCGATACAACATTTCATTATTGTTGACTTTTTTCTTAATAGAGTTAATCCTGAAAATGTTTTTTTGGCATTTTTATCAAACTCCTATGTGTTGATATGAACTAGTAATTTTTATCTATTCTACGTGTAGCTTTAGTAAGACAAATAATTCATGTTTAATTATATGAAAGATTCTAAACATTTCTTAGTGTAATTACGTAACTAAAGTTTTTTTTCCTTACTCTATATTTGATTTTTTTTATTTAAAAAGCATCCCAAAAACGACTCAACTGAAGGTATAATTTTGAAAGGCAACAAACAAAATTGCATCATACTACTTACATTTAAACACAAACAGTTCATTGTCATTTAAACGTCTATTTCAAAAGTTCACTAGTGCATTATGAATGTTTTGATTATTGCAAGATTCTTTATTTAAATGAAATATTTTTTGTCAGAATTGAAATGATATGTTAGGTTCGTCACTAGGTATGCTTGAAACTATTACGGGTTCACCTTAGTCGATAAACGCGAACGAGACAATTACCAGCGTCCAGGTAGGCTACCTTGATCCCTAACTGCAAAACAGAAGTTTTGATAAGTGTAGAAAGTATATTCTACAAACACCAAACAAGCACAATACAATCAAGCACACAACTCTCGTTTATTTATACATCACAGAAACGTCCTTGGGACAGTCACAAAAACAGCCCGCTAAAATACACAGCAGTCAATCAAAGCCAAGGATTTTCCAAACATTATTACTTATTGCCCTCTTAAAGCTTGATCATAATTCTCTGCCTTATTCTCAAATAGATTCTTTATAGTTTACCCGAAATATGTTGAGGTAAGGAAACGTGAATCTTCACTTTCGTTGATCCATAAATGTAGAAGCTCTAAGTTCACAGTGGTCCTCAAAGACACCTTGACTGACTGAACAGGATGGTCTAGTGATTTGTTTTCGATGAACACGCTGGTTGAAACAACTCAAAGAATAATTTTGCTATTGAATTTCAATCACCGTGTTTATCACAAACATAATTTTTGCAAGTTATATTTTTTTAAAATATTGACTGCCATTTCCGAAAAATCAATTTGTTCAGTAATCTTTGAGATTTGAAATAATGCTAAATACTAATAACAAATAATCAGTTAATTGAATGATCGATTATGTAACTTTCAAACAGATAAACAAGTTCAGGAGGTGTGGGATAGAATTTCAGAGAAAACTGGTAAATCATGAGACAATGGAATACAATATCATATTTTTAACCGACGAACGCCACGCAACTGATTTAAACTACTTAAGATCTTCTGATGCAACATAAATTACTGTTAAACAGTTGAACGTTCAGGTTAGATTTCATTCTAAACTTATAATAACTTCATCCAAAGTTTTATATCATTGACCAACTTAAGTTCGACATCTGAGTCACATTATGCTATGGAATTTCAAGGTCCCACAATATCTTGTAACAGAAATTTTATTTATATTTTTAAAACCCATTATACGGCGTAAATGATGTAGTTTATTAACTAATATTCTAGACAAGAAAGACATTCTTTTCTCATGAACATGTAAACTCCAAATATTGATCAATATTGTTACTGATTTCAGTGGATCTAAACCATTAGGAATTATTTATAGGTGCTTAGAAAACTACTGTATAAAGCCATGTATTTATTAAAAAACGCACCTACACAATGTTATCACAAAGATAAAACTGTTTGGAAACTTTTACTTTTTTTATGAAGTCGAATAATAGTTTAACTAAATTTGGAAATTTTAGAATTCAATTTTCAATATTGCACGTACGGATATATAAATATACATATATAAATATAAATATATATATATATATATATATATATATATATATGCATATATTAAATGAATCCTGTTTACTTGTGTTTTTCCTATTCTGTTTCATTTTGTTTATAAAATTTAGATTGGCATATAAAATAGTGTTGAAATGAAAAGAGTAACTTATCATACAATAGGATATGTTAGTGCAGGTAGAAATATATTATTCATATATACATGCATACACTTAAACAAACTAACTGGTAGCCTGATTATATATTTTGATTTTTCAATGTTCAATTCGAAAATTAAGAAAAATGTTTCCAGTGATAAATGATAACATAAAGTAAAGTTGAGAAGTTGCGTTGGTGTGATGAGTTGTGTAAGTTAGGATTGGAGGGAGAACGACAAGGTAGGAAAGGAAATTTGAGAGAAAAACACTGAAGTAGAACCTTGTGAACTTTGAAAGGAGTACTGTGAAAAGAATTTCGAACGAAGACCATTTTAATGATAAAGCATTTTATCTTATTGGATGATATCATCTTTGTTTACTCCAAAATAAAAGAATCCCAAAACGGTTAAATAAATAATATTTTCCAACTCACTAGCATTTTCACAGTTGATATCACAAACTGATCTTAGGTAAATCACAAGTTAAAACCTGTAAGCAACAAATAGCTGTCTTGTCCTAGTATGGGACACTTTAACAGCACACATCCGCGATCCCGCAAGCTTGAATCCAGCCTAGAACCTTCGGTTTGATACTGAGACTAAACATCATCCCAAGTGCCTATAAATTTTCAGTGGTAGTCTAGCTAAGATCGATTTGTGATTCCTACTGTGGAAATGCTAATGAGGTGGAAAATAATAACACTTTTGTTATTGAAAAAATATCTTCGTAATTAATATGAGCTCACTTTTCAACATATTTTCAGATACCTAGCGAAAATTTTGATTCATGGAGCCTGAAAAAGCAGGAATGAGATAGTCATTCACAAATAACATCACCCTTTATCTTAAACTGGTTGAGGTGTGGAAAGCGGAACACTGAATTTAAACTCATTTATCTGGCGACAATACACTCACTGAGAAGCTTGTTCTATGACGAGGTTGTTTCTAGACTTGACAAATTTGAGTTCGCTTCAGGTTAGACTTGAAAAAATGGCGAAAATTAACTTTGGTAATTATCAGTCATTTATTTACCTGACGGCTGGCAGCCAATGAATATATGTAGTTTTTTTCAAATCTTACAACAGAAGACTAATATAGATAATAAATTCTATCGATTTTTTAATATTCCTGATCTGTGATATTTATTTTCTTTGCTTGTTCAAATTCATTCTAGAGATTGAATTACATTTTTTGTTTAGATTTCCCAATCAGGAGTATTGTCATATTTACACATAGAAAAAAAAATAAGTCTTGCAATCAGAATGTAAAACTCAAATAGACGGTTAACAGTTGTCTATCATTTAGCATAGTTATGACTAGTAAACAAATAAATCTTTTTCAATTAGAGTTATGTACATTAGTGTTTTTACCCATTGAAATCATCGATCCATCATTGTTAGACCATCATTACAAATACACAAGCACTGGACGGTCGTTTCGTCCTGGTATGGAACTCATCAGCAGTATGCATCCACGACTCCTATTACTCGCGGGATTCGAAACCCATGGCTTCAGGTCTTGCACGCCAACGCCTAACCTCTTGACCGAATAAATTTGTTTACCTAAGCTGTAAGATCAGTCCAAAAAGTTATTCATAGATTGAATTGTGCCTGATGATGTAAAACTGTTGATTAATATCAAAGAGATTATTATATAATAACTGATTGAACACATCAATCGATTTATCTTCGAGTCAATCATAGATTCACTAACTAGTTAACTTTTAAATTACTATGTTTTTAGATAAATTTATTGATTTTGCAAGAGTCGGTCTTTAATAAGTTTTGTAAGTATTAGATTGATTTGATGTTTTTTGACTGTAATTTTTGTTTTCATTCAGTCAAATGTGGAAAGTTGGACTATTGCTCAGTGGTTCCATGTTTTACTATAATTTTTGCTCAACGTATTGATGAGATAATTCGTTTATTAGTGAAATGAATTATTTTTTAACTGAATTGATAATAGTTTGTAAAAAAAATTCAATTTGTTTAGCAGGACACTAATTCATAAACTAGAATCACTCTGATTCTTAAATGTTATCAATCAACATATTGGTGATACAATGATCACAAATTTATTAATATTATTGAAAATTTTGATTACATTTGAATTGTTTGACAATTTTCGTGGTCACATTATAATAGATAACAGGTTTTTAAAAATATGCTTATTCCAAGATGTTCAAAGAGTTTGTTTTCTTTAATTGGGATGAAACAACAGATCAACTGTTGAAAATTCTACGTTGTTTTGAATTCCAAAAAAATATTCTTATTAGACAATCCTGGCATTCTTTTGAGAGTGTTGTTCTTATTCGCATTCACATTCGCTTCAATCAAAATAACTGACAGTTGGATAATTCAGCATTTTGTGTCTTATTTAAATTCAAGGATGTTAAATTTGCTATAAACAATTTGATTATTGATCCAATAGAACCCGTTATTTGATATATGAGATGATGAATTATGAACAGTTTACTATGCTATTTTTATTTACCATGATTAAAAACATTACATTGAGGCTAAGCATACAGGAAACTGAACAATTTTGAATTGAGATTGGATCAAGGTGTGTTTGCTAGTTTAAAATCATTCTTGGCTCGGGGTCGTAGATGCACATTGCTAAGAAAGTCTCACACTAGAACGAAACGACTGTTCAGTGCTTCCAGGTTTTCGGTTCGTTATCTTAATGATCCTCTTGCTCTATGGATTTGTTTGCATTGGCTTTACACATAGGATGCACTTGTTAAACGAATATCCCAGTACTATCCTTCAAAGGTATTTATAGGGAATACAAATCAATCAACAGCTCAGTTCTTGAACAAATGGCCAATGTAGGTGACAACCTACCTCATGAATCGTCTTTAAAAATCCTCTATTAAGTGAAAACAAACAGATCAAAAAAGGTTTGCATGAAGAATTGGTTCGTAGCTGAGGTTATAGAAATTCACCAATTCAAACCCGATCTCTGTGTACAAAAGAGTCCTATTCGATCCCTTACTCTCCCAGGGCCTCATCGCCACTTTGGATCTTTACAAATTATTAGTGCTGATTATCACCTTCGTTTGTTTTTCTTTTGCAAACTAGACAATGAGCTTGAATTTCTATAGATTTTCACCTCTCATTGCTTCTAAAACTTTTACGTAACATAAGCTATTGATGCTGTTTAATCACTTAACCAAATGATGTAACCTCTTATCATTAAGTACTTGGAAAATTAATTACATGAAAATAATGCCCTGCCATTTACAAAATATTATTGCTATTATATTCACTACTTATAACTTTTTGATAATCTTGAACATATTACGCAATACCACTTCATTTTCATTGCATTCCACTTGAGTAAGTTTGACTATCGTTAATAATCTTACAAAGTTCCTCTATTCAATATAAAAATATGTGACGTGACCAGTGAAGTACACCCCTGTCGGGTGTAGGCAGTAACTACCATAGACAAATGGGTGAGGTCGCGCAAAACCGCAGATCAATTAATTAGACATTAGTACCGTTGAATGCCGGCCCGGTGGTCCAGAGGTTAGGCGTTCGCGCACAAGACTGAAGGTCCCGGGTTTGAATCCTACGAGGTGCAGGA